CTACCTGAAGGAGAAATCTTTCGTTTTTATTTAGAAGGGGTTGTCACCTTCCCACGTGTGTGGCAATCCTTAGGAGAAAGCAAGGGGGAGGGATCTGAGTAACAGAACAGAATGGGTCTCCAGGTGTTGGATAAAGCAGTATGTGCTCACACTGTTTCTTTCCTGCCCGTTGTTTTTATTCAGAGGCGCATACATCCTTAAAGCCACCTGATAGAAAACTGTTCATGGAGGCTGCCCTTTTATGCACAGGAAGGTGTGTATTTGTGTGTGTGTGCGTGAGAGGGAGGGAGAGGGAGAGATTAGTCTCTGTGCCTGCAAGGTGTTTCTATACACACCTCCGTGTGTTCAGGGACAGCCATTAAACCCAAATTGTCTCCACTCCCACTTGAGAAATGGATTTGGGGCCTGGGGGAGGCAGGCATAGAAGGGGGCTGTTGGTAAAAGTTTGTCTGCTGGTCTAGCCTGGAAAGATTTCACGCTCTCCTTGATAATTCTTTGCCACTGCCCCCGGTCTGGGGTTACACCTGCACTGTGCCAGCTCAGTTTTATCATAGAAGCAATTTAGAGGCAGAAGGGTGTGGAAGAGACAGCTTAGGGAAGAAGCCAAAAAGTGGCGGTACTCTTGGAAGCAGGAGGGTATAGGATTAATTTTGACTAGGATTAAACATAATCCCCTTGGAGGTGGGGTGGTGGTTCTAATTTAGCTTTGGTTATCGATGTGCCAGAGTTAGCAAAGTAGGGGAAAAGGGGAGGCTAACAGGCCAAAGGGCTTCAAGCAGGGAAAGGGAGAGGGTAGGGGAGGAAGGGGAAACCGGATTGGCCAGAAAATTGCAAAGAACAGTGATGCAATCTTGCAACAGCCTTCGCAGTCAGTCAGACTGAGCCCTGAGGGGAGGGACAGGGCAAAGGGCTCAAATATTTTAGTTTTTCGAAATGTTAACAGTAACATTTCTTTGGGTCTGAGACAATTTCCCAGACAAATCAGTTAAAAAATGCAATAATAACGACGACTACCCTTTGCCTTGGCTATTATTTAATATTAATAATAGTTCAGGTAAGGATTTGCATCTGGAGAATGGTCAAGGTTACCTGAGTAGCCTATTTAAAATTCTACATTTTAGTCTGTACACGAGCAGTCAAGGTGACCAGCAGCCAAACAGGGATTATTCCTGCAGGATTGTATCTCCTGCTTATTGTTCTGTTAAATTTGTCAGGCAGGAAAGTTCTGTAACACGGGTCCAAGCCAAGTTTAATGTTAGTCTTGGCATTTTCTTTGAATCTTCCTTATAATTTCGGAGCACAGTCTCTAATAACTGGCAGAAATGATTTGTGAGCTTTCCCAATATCTGTGAGTGTTCCAAACCTAGTGGCTTCTGGAAGAGCATATGATTGATGTGTGTCTTGATACGAGGGCTTTCACTTGGTTTCCATTCTGAAGGTGAGTCAGCTCAGCTTTGGACCCAAAATTCCGAAATTGGCTTGTAAGCATTTCCGGTGTTTCTGTAACTCAAAGACGCAAACCACACGTCTTCCTAGGTCAGCAGACCATAAGCCACCGGGGTTCCCCTTTCATGTGATGTGTTAGGGCATCAGATGAGTTCCCCTCTTTCCTTCTTTGATAATCTGACTTTGATTGCCAGGCTTCACCAGCTTACTGGCAAGAACTGGGCAGAGGGGACAGCAGATGCCATGGACGGAAGTCACCAGTGGATTTAATATTACTGGTTTAGGTGGTAGCTGTGACTGAGTGGGAGATCATGGGACTAGAAGACTAAGGAATCCAGTGGCAACTCGTGCCTAGGAATTTCTGAGCACAGCTCTGTCTGGGTGGGCAAAACGACCCCAGCTCCTAGGGTAGAAGGGGGTTACGTAAGGCTTGGAAACTAAACACATACTTTAATGAGACTGACATCACTTTTAGAGAAGTAAGGCATTGTGTTGCATCATGCAGGCGAGACCCAGGTCAGACCAAGCCATATGGTGACCAACCATTGTGTTTTGCTCAGGGTTGAGGGGTTTGCTGAGATGGAGTAATTTCAGTGCTAAACCTGAGACAGTTCTGGGCAAACTGAAACAGTCACTCTACCCTTATATCTATCCTAACATCTAATTCTTGCCATTTCTAGGAAGGCGGGAAGAGCCAGTTTGAAATTTGTTTATTTTGCTTTCCAAATTTCTTTTTCCAAGACATTACAATACCCAGAGTGATCTGCAGAGGGAAAAATCACAGAGGGGCAATGTGTGGTCCAAGGGGTAACTGCCTTGGGGATGGAAGAAACAGGAGACAGAGGCCTTTTGGATGGTTGGTTGTGTGTGAGCTTCAATTACTATATTTTGTTACCAGCTCCCTGCCGTTTACACAAAATCCCTGCCCAC